AGCATAAAAAAATAAAATGATTTAAAATAAAAATAAAAGAGCAATTGTCTAATTAAAACACCCTATTATTGTGCTCAATGTTTCTAGAAAGTTTTTACAATAATATTCGTTTTTTAGATAAAATCTCATCTTAGCCATAAAAATAAGTTTTTATGTAAAAATTAATATTATTATAATTTTGACGGGATTGTATTAAAAAATATAAAAATAATATATTATTTACATGTTGTGGGGAATTTTTCTACAGCGTCACTAAACCTTGTTTAGCTTTAGGGTCAGTTTAGAGCCCATTCCTTTCTTAATTTGGATTTTAAATTTAGCAACGTGGAAATTAATTTAATGTGATTAGATCAAGTTGGTGGGTTCAAAAATAACTTAATCAAGACTTAATTTGACTTAGTTAAAAAAACTTTTAAATGCCATAATTTTAATTTATTTTTACTAATATTGAAACTAATAATGAAACTGCAACATTTTTGTTTAAGAGTAAAATTCAGTTTCTAAAATTTCAATTATTTTAACAATAAAATTGAATATTTTCTTGCCAAATAAAGTATTAATTTAACATTGAAATGTTTTTTTTTTTACACTTCAAGAATCATATAGCAAGATAATTAAAACAAATTATCAGCCTTAATCCAAGCTAATATAGCTTGTACATAAGGATAAAATTTAAAAAAAAATGATATCAAAGTAAAAAATTCTCCTAAAACCAGAAAAAAAGAGAAAAACTATTGAAATCTACAATTTTTTCTCTCAAAATAAAATCAACACCTCTTTTAATTTCTCTTATAATACAGTGCATTTAAAGTAACAACAAGAAGTTAAAAGTATCTTCTTGTCATAATGATAAGGATATTACCAATCTAAATATTTTTAACCAAAATTAAATAATTTCTCAAATAAACCAAGTATTCTAAAATATACTTTAATTACATAAATTTAAGTAAAGAAATAGTTACACTTAAAAAAATAACGGTGTTTCTCTTACAGTATCCATTTCTTTCAAAAGATTATATTTAGTATTTTTTTTTTTTGAAAAAATTTATATTATCATTAATTATCCCATTTTTTTTAATTCATTTTACTTTGTCAATTGAATCATTTGACTTCAATACCTTAAGAAAAACTTTATTTTTTAATATCTCTAAAAATGAAAGAGGCGTCCATTAAATCATTTGATATCAATCCCTTAAAAAAAATGTATTTTTTTATTTATAAAAAAAAACAAACCTTTACTACCTGTGGACTTATCGAAAAAGATTAAATTAAAACTCTAGTTTCTAAATTATCCCCTAAAGTTCTAGAACTTTACGAACAATTCGCGTCTCTAATTATACTATATGTTTTGCTCACCACGCAAATAATGATTGTTAACTGCTTACCTATAGGTGCGCCCATGATTACTTCGACAACTACAGAGATGAAGCAGCCCCTGGAAAGCATATATTTCGGTTGGAAGAGCACTGGAAGCACTTTTGTGAGTTACACTTTCTCTTAACAGACGGGACAAGGATTTTTCTTATTTTTTATTTTTTATTTTTATTTTTTATCAAGTAAAAATAACAATTGACTTACTAATAAACGAATCCGTTTTTATAGGAGGAAATCATAATTCTGGTAGTTAAAAAACAATATAAATTATATTTTAAAATTTTATTTAATAATTTAAGTTATTAGATTAAGATAATAGATACCATATTAAAGAACTATTTCGACTTAAAAGGTTAAGTTATTAGGTTGAGATGATTTTTTGTGTTAAAGAACTATTTCGACTTAAAATGTTAAGTTATTAGGTTAAGATGATTTTTTGATATGATATCAGAGTTTTGATAACCAAGCAATCATGAGTTCGAATCCCACCATCTCCATTTATTTGATAAAAATTAATTACAAGATAATGTGGTCATGTGCAAGTTTCAAGCCTAAAAGACTTTCACTTGAGAGAATGTGTTAGAAAATAATATAAAGCATATCTTGAAGTCTCACCTATTAACTTAAACTTTTAAATGAGATGGTTCTTTGATACCAGCAAGAGATTTTAAGCACTTTTCTTCAGTTTCTTCCTTACTTCAACTCGGATAAAAATCTTCAAACTTAATTTTTATTTGTATTACTTGATTATTGTTGGTTCAATTTCAATTCCAATTATATATTTTTTTATTTTTGTATTTTTTACAATTTTCATGGTTTTTAACACATAAAAAACTAAATAAAAATAAAAAATAATTAAAATTAACTAAATTTACTCAGAGAATTTTTTTTTAATTTTCTCTAAGTTTCAAAATATATATTAAAAAAAAGGCAGTAAAAAAAACAAGGCTATGACTTCCTCCATCAAAGATTCTACCTTGTTGCTCTCTTTCTTAAAGCAAATTGTTCTTGCCATAGTTATTTTAGCTCTTCATTCGTCTGTCCATTTAAAGCTATAAAATAAAATAAAAATAGCGAAGAAAATTACTTTTTTTAAGCTCCTTTTTTTACTCTTGTACACACCAAATCCGAGTTTCATAGAGACTAGAGGTAGGAGTGTGGCACACACTACACTGGCCAAAGCTAACCTCTTTTCTTTTTTTTATTGACAAATGCTACTGTTTTTTTTCTTTTTCTTTTTTTTTTCTTTTTGACATTCTATATAGAGCATTTGCCAATAAAAATAAAAAATTAAGTCCTGAAAATGATGTTTTGTGATTGGCCCATCATTAATTTTGTTATCCATACACAATATAGACCGGCCTGGGAATGATGTTAAAACTAGGAATAATGAGTTTTCTGTGGGCTTTAGAGCATTGGGAATAACTTAACAGTGTGCACTTTAGGCCCATTTCAAAAGAGACAAAAGGGACAAGGATAAGAAGATGTGTTTGATATTGTAGTAGCTATAGTTGTGATTTTAAAAAAATTATTTTATAAAAAATATTTTTAATTGATGTTGATTTAACATTTATATATATTTGGTTAAAACTGTAGTTGAAATTGAAGTTAAATAAAAAATTATTTAATATGTTTGGTTAATAATGCTTTTGAAATTTAGATTATAAAATAATTTTAAAAATATATATATTAATATTGATGGTTTTTAATTTAAACATTATAAATTTAATTATTGTTATTATATCATAAAATAAATAATAATTTATATAAAATATTTTTCATTGTTTCATTAAATTATCTACAATTCCATCATGTATGAAATACATCCGACAAGGATTACAGTTTTTTTGGTTTCTTAAGTGCGCAACAACATTAGGTAAAATATAATTAGGAATAAAATTGAAATTGTGATCAAATCCTGCAAACGGTACATTATCAAGCGATTTCTGTCTGATATATATAATGTCATTGAATAAGGTTAAATATTAATTTTTCAAATAAAATACAATTAAAAATTTAAAAATAATTTTAATTTTTTATTTTACTGGATAGGATCCGGTTCAATGCATATTGAGCTTTGAACCAGACCCAGTTCCGTCGGAACTAATCTGACCAGAACTGTGTACTATATTATATTATTCATGCTAATTGCATAGAAAGTAAGTAAGATTTACTCGTATTGTTCACTTTAATGAACAGTGCAAGTGAAAAGGTAACATAGAGCTACTTCTATTTTCTTACTTTTCAAACGTAATATGTAGCAGGCCTCATCAAAATTTACCTGTGTTTTTATGTTTACCAAATAATTGTTTGGTTATGGTTATTTCAAATGTAAAAGCAAACACGCAAATAAACAAAACAAAAATTTGAAGTAAAAGTTAGAAAAAATTGATAAATTGATTAAATTATAAAAAATTAATTAAATAGATTAAAATATTTTTAAAAAAATTAATTCAGTTTGGTTTCTATTTTATTAGTTTAAAATTAAAAAACTGAACAGAATCAAAAGTAGTCTATTAAAAAATTTCAAAAATATTCAAAAAATAACATAATTTTGAGTTTTTAAATGTAAAATAATTAAATTAAATTGGAACCGGTTGAAATTTATTTAGGTTTTTTTATATATTTTACAAAATTTAAATTTATTAATTTTTATAAATAAAAAATAATAATCACTCTCAGTCTAAAAGTCAAGACATTGTGGTACATGACGTCCGTGGCAGGGTATTATTCTACCACTAGACCACTAGCGCTTGTTGGTATCAACGTGTGGAATAGGTAATATTATATATAATGACACGTCTATTTCCTAGTCAAACGCAGAAGCAAAAATTACAAAATAGAAGACAACATTTTTGACAGAAGTCTTGTACCATTACGACAAAGTTTGACTCTGTATCTAGCTAGAAAGCAATATCCTCCCAGCACAATAATTATAGTTTTAAAACCCGGCCCGGCCCGGTAGGTTGACTCGGAATTCTTGTACCATTACGACAAAGTTTGACTCTGTATCTAGCTAGAAAGCAATATTCCTCCCAGTCCAATAATCATAGTTTTAAAATCCGGTCCGGCTTGGTGGGTTGACCTGGAACCCGGCCGACCCGGGGTTGAAACAGGCCGGATTGATAAAAAAATAAGATAAGCCATGACCCGGCGTGACCCAGTCAATCCGGCGGGTTGACCCGGAAACCCGAACGACCCGACAAAACCCGGTCAAAAACCCGGTGGTAAACCATTGACTTTTGTTTTTTTCACTAAAACGACGTCGTTTTGAATTTTTTTAAAAATAGAAATTGACCTGGCCGACCCGTTCAACCCGGTCAAAACCCGAAACCCGGGCCTTGGACCGGGCCAGCCACCGGGCCGGGTTTAAAAACTATGCCAATAATAGTCATTCCTTGCCTAGTTAAATGTGACAAAAAAAACATGGCTTTATTCTCTTCTATATATATATATATATATATATGGTGAACTGACTAGAGCATGCATATAATACTTCTTCTAGTCATGATGGTCAGTGAGGTTTTTGGTTTTAAAATCAACAACTCCATTGAAATTTCTTGAACTTGAAGAATATGCAAAGACAATGATGGCATCATTGACATGTTAGCAAAGAGGGAGAGAAATTTAAGGAAAAAAACATCTGTGGATTTGCTGTATTTACGTACACACCAATATGCTAATCATTCCTTGTACAGAAACAAGAAAGGATTCTCCTCTACATTATTGTCCCAATCTATCAAACATTCATGAAGAAAAAAATGAAAATCAAAATCAAGGCTCCCTCCCCACTGTTTCATTTTATATGCTCTTGGATCTTGATCCTGCCAACTTCTGCAGCTTCTTCCAAGCTTGCCACGGAAAATCTGGCAAATTTTAGTTCAATAAATTTGCAAAAAAAAACCAACAGATACCGTAACTCATCAACTGATTGCGGATTCACCTACCCTCCACTACAGTATTGCTCCAAGATAAGGACATAGAAGATGAGTGGTATCGTCTAATTTCATCAAAAGTTGGGTGCGATCCATGGCTAGAATAACTCGACCAAAAATCCGTAGACTTCATCTGTTGTAGCAAACATGCATCCATATCCTCACTTTCAATCTCACTAAGCTCATTATTGCCCTCCGTCACCTTCACTACTTGCCTCATTGTCGGCCGCACTTTAGAGTCAGGATATGCACACAATAAGCCTAGATGAAGCATTCTTTCTACTTCTCCTTCATCAAATTGTTCTCCTCTAGCCTTTAGTCGCTCATCCAAGGCATAAAGTGACTGCCCTTGCATCATCAACTGCCAAACCGATTCTACCAAAGGTGGCTTCCCTTCTTCTATAGGCCTCCTTCCACACATGACCTCCAAAATCAAGACCCCAAAACCGAACACGTCGGTTTGAGCTGAGGTTCTTCCACTTCGAACCACCTCAGGTGCCATGTATCCTATGGTTCCAACCACCCGCGTGGTGCTAGGCACTTGACCACGCCCGTGCACTCGAGCCAATCCAAAATCACCTAGCTTTCCATTCATATCCTTGTCAAGTAACACGTTGCTGGCCTTAATGTCTCTGTGTAGGACTTGAGAATCCCATCCCTCGTGCAAATACAATAATGCAGAAGCCACGTCTTTCAAAATTCTTATTCTCTCTTCACAGCTCAACATTTTACTCTCATCACAATCGAACACCCTCTTCTCCAAACTCCCATTTTCCATGTAGTCATATACCAACATGAAGACTCCTCTTTCTCTCTTGCACCAACCTCTCAACCCCACCAAACTCCTATGCTTCAACCTTCCAAGACTTGAAATTTCAGCTAAAAACTCCCTCATCCCATCATTTTCATGTGAAATGCGCTTCACTGCAATCTCTGTCCCTCCTGGTAAAACACCCTTATAGACCTTTCCATTTCCTCCGATTCCAATAACATTTTCTTCACTGAATCCTTTTGTTGCTGCCTCAATTTCTTGATACCTAACCTGATGTGGCCAGTACTCCAATTCCCAATCCTCCATTTCCTCTCTCTCCCTTGCTTTCCTTTGTCTTCTCTTAATCAAAAACCATATAATTGTAGCAGCCGAAACAACAAGAAGGACCCCTCCCACTGTGGCTCCTGCAATGAACACTTTAGACCGATAAAATGGATCTTTAGGAAGCACAAACGATGGCAACCCAGTAGTGATTAACCTCTCACTCAACGAAAAATTGGAATTGCTAAAGCTCCATGCCAAAATCTTGTGATTTTCAACAAGCAGTCCGGTTGAAGAAGTGAATCCCACATACATCTCATCCTCGAAAACGTCAGATAGATTAAGAGACACATTCAATAAAGGCCTGGAAGGCCTTTTCATGCCGGCCGGAGCCATAGTAACATTAATCATAGAATCTTCATAGTCAATCCAAACTTGGTAGTTTTTACCATTATTTAGATCCTGTTCCTTAAAAGAATTCCTATCCTCATCACTGGTGTTCTCATTGTTGCTGCTTCTTGAATTATCAGGCCAATAGCCTGCATCTGCTGCTTTAATTGATGTAAGTGTATTTACATCTATTCCAACATGGTTATCATTCATATCACTGAATTCTTCATTTGCAAACACATCAAACTCGATGCCAAGCAGATGATCATATGAACGGTTACCGTTCGTACGATTCAGAAAGCCTAAATATTGAGCTGAAATAGAGCTTTGAATGCTTGTACAGGGCACAAAAAGAAAAGCCAGGCCATGCCCAGGAAGAACATTCTTGTAAGGGGTCATAGCAAAAATAAAAGAAGTGGAAAATGGATACACAAATGAAGAATTTGGATCTTTGGTTGGTATCTTTGTTGGGTACAAAGCACGGCCAATTTTGAAAGATGTTTGATTTGTAAGTGTAAGAATGCGAGATTCAATGATGGCCGAGCCATAGAGTGAAACACTAGAGGAATTGAATCCATTGAAGACAAAGTCAATAGCCGATATGGGTTGCAAAAACAGGATTATAGGAAGTAGAAGCAAGGCAAGATCAAGCTTCTTGTTGAATTTCTTCATTTCAATCCAAGAAGCAAGGAGAGAATGAGAAAGGAAGGTGTTTTTCATTGTAGATTATAACTTCAGACAGATAAGGTGGTCTGAAACAGGATGTTAAGGTTGTAGAAAGGATAGGAGTCTCTTTCAACTTGCCAAGTCAAACGTTTAGCAGCAGGATTATAATGGTTGTGAATTTGTCCATGAACCTGACGCAATTGGAATTTTGTGTTTATTACAATATCAAGGTCGATTATCTTCGAAGAAAATACTTGGTAGCTTCAAACTTATTTCCTTAGATATAAATTTCGGATTTGCCAGCAAGTTGATTTAGAATCTATACGTATCTAAATTAAAGAAAAAACAAATAATTAATATAATAAAAAATTCAGGTTAATTTACTAATCCAGTTAAGCCAATCCTAACTTATTTGTTTTTTCAAAAAAAATATTTTATTTATTTTATTTTATTAACTCATGTAGGCATGTTACACGTTACATGATTTGATAATTAAATACGTTTGGCAATATTCATGTTTCCAATTTATTTTTATTTTTTTAAAGAAAAGTTGTTCTTATATTTGAACTTAAAACAATCATATAAAAGTAAACTCGTATAACTATTGTAATAACGAAAACTGGTCATGAAGTTCATACAGATCTCATATACAAAAAAACTAAATAAAAATAAATAAAAACGTTCATACAGATCTCATATACAAAAAAACTTAATAAAAAAAAAAAAACTAGAGAAACTTCATTTTGAAGATTTTTGAGGCAATGTTCAAACTTTTCTAGTTTCTTCTTCTCCTCCTCGTATTAATTACAGTCACAATCAACCTCTAAACCAAAACGACCGTAGACTTAGGTAGAAGAAAAGAATTGGGGTCCAGATACAATGGCAACTTGGTATATTTTAAGAGGAATTCAAGGGTATTGATGAGTAGAAATTCTTAATAACTTTTTTTATATTTAAAAAAATAATATTAACCTGCTGTTAAGCATGGATATTAAATTCAAGAACCTTGCCTCTGGTATAAATATTAAATCTAAAAAGTTTAAATATTTTTTATATTTTTTAATATTTGAAAATAAATATAATATTAACTCGTTGGAAAACATGGATAAATACACTAGAGCATGTGTTTTTGTGTGTAATAAGGAATGAAAGCATTGTTGTAATTAACGAGGATCAGAGGAATTATAAATAGTACTGTGGTTTCTTAGAGAAGCCATACCTAGCCAGCTCTAGGAGAATATATAAAAGGGGGGAGATTTCTTCAATTTTCATCAAATTTCTTGAGTGAAACATAAAAAAGGCATAGATTAAGGGTATAGCTAAAAATTTATTTAAAAAAATAACACAATTCATTTAGCCACAACAATATCATTGACGCAATTATTATTATTATTTTTTAAGCCTACGGCAATGTCATAATTACTGCAACCTAGAAAAATCTAAGCTTATCTTGAATTTAGTCATAAGTGATGTTGTAGATAGAGTTTTACTCCACCAAAATATTTATAACTGCATTACCTAAATAGCAATACGAATTCTTTTTATGATAATAGAAATTAATTTTAAAAAATAATCCACACTTGAATTATTAGGAGTTTAAATTAGTTAAAACTAGCAGTTGGCCCAAATTAATTTTTTTAAGAGAAAAGGTAGATGTTATTAACAAGTTTTCTAGTAGAAAAATAATAATTATGAATACAAAATTTGACGCATGTGATTGATAAAATTAATCAAGAATTATACAGGATAATAAATATTAAAAAAATTATTAATACCAACTAAAGATTAAATAAAAAATATAAGAGATAGGTGAAGATTACTATAGCGAATTTCTATCACACGGAACTCTTAAAATTTATTTATGTATTTATATGACAATAAGTTGTTTTTATATAAAAAGAGTAATAATCTAATTTTAATCAGAATAAATTGCTAGTATAATTCCTCATTTTCGTATTAATATTTTTTATCTCTTAAAAAAACATATTATGTTTTTTTGTGTGATTCATTGAAAATCAAAAGCAATCAAAACTTACATAAAAAAATTAAACGATTTAAATTAAAAATAAAAAAGCAATTGTCTAATTAAAACACCTTTATCTTATTATTGTGCTCAATTTTCCTAGAAAGTTTTTATAATAATATTTTTTAAAAAACAAAATCTTATCATAATCATAAAAATAATTTTTATAAAAAAATTAATATTATTATAATTTTAACAAGATTGTATTAAAAATATAAGAATATTATATTATCAATGCTTTGTTGTGGGGAATTATTTGATAGTATCATTAAACCTCGTTAGACTTAAGGGTCGATTTAAAGTTCCTCATCTTAACTCCTTTTCTAACAAGAGTTTCAAATTAAATCATATAAAAGTTGATCTAATATAATTGGATCAAGTTTATAGATCCAAAAATAACTTGATCAACCTAGTTAAAATTTGATTTAATTTAGTTAAAAAATCTTCTAAGCACCATCATTTGATTTTTTTTTATATTATGACCATAACATTTTAAATTGATCAAGGTCAAGCCAGATTTACTTGTCAAATTGATGACCCGAATCATAGATTTATTTTAAATTGATCAAGGTCAAGCCAGATTCACTTGTCAAATTGGTCAAATTGATGACCCGAATCATAGATTTTATTAGGTTTAATAGCTTATTATTTTGAAATTATTTTTTTTAATTATGTAATAATAAAAAAATGCAGGAAATCCACTAAAAAAATTCAAAAAAAAAAAAGAAATCATGAAGGTCTCTAAAACAAATTCTTGAAAATATTATAAAAACAATGTTATAATCTTATTAGAAAATAAGATTATAACATTCTTAATTAATAAAATAATATCCCAAAATATTTTAAATTGGTTATATATATAAAGGCTTAAAAGAGAGATTAGACAACTAATCTGGTCCTAAGTGGGCCAGCACACCAGTCTCACTAAAAATGAAAAAGGTGTGTACAAGGCCAAACCCAGGCATCTAGTCTTCTTTTTTTTTTTTTCGTTCTTACAATGAACAGAAATTTATCATTCATTAGTTACATGCTGATCATCTTAGTTAGTTAAAAAATTGTCAGGATATCAGGTAATTAGATAAAAAAAAAAAACTTGATTTCAATTTATTTTCATAAAAAAATTTCTAAAAAACACTAGAAAATTTTCAATTAACCCATGTCTAACTTTAAAACAACTTTTAATCTCTTAGAAATTTAAAAATTCATCCCGATCTAAAAAGAAAATCCAATTTCCAATTTATTTTTAATAGCAAGATGAAGGGTAAAACACATCAATTAAATCTCTATTGTCAAATAAAATTTATTGACACGAATAATGGGGTTTTTTTCCTTGTTGGAATATGATTACTAAGCTACTTTCTCTTTTCTCACCTTTTCTTTGACAACTCTTTCTTTTATCTCTTAAGTTTAGGAACCGAAACAGAAACAAAATGAAGTTGTGGGCTAAAACATAAAAATCATGAATAAAAAAATTTTAGGGACCAAAACTATATAAAAAAATGTGCCTCATGAACATTAAAGAAAAAAATAAAAAAGGTTGTAGTTTTGTTTAAGAGTCAAATTCAGTTTCTAAAGATTCAATTTTTTTAGCAATAAGATTAAATATTTTCTTGCCAAGTATAGCATTAATTTAATATTGGAATACATTTTTGACACTTCTAGAACCATATAACAAGCTAACTAAAACAAATTATCAGCCTTAATATTGGCTAATATAGCTTATAAGGATAAAATTATAAAACAAACTGATATCAAAGTAAAAAATTCTCCTAGAACTGGAAAAAAAAATATTGAAATCTACAACCTTTTCTCTCAAAATAAAATCAACACCTTTTTTAATTTTTCTTATAATGCAATGGATTTAAAGCAACAACCAGAAGTTAAAGTATCTTCTTGTCATAATGATAAGGGTATTATCTAATTTTGTTTTACTAAAATTAAGTAATTTCTCAAAGAATTAAGAATCCTAAAATATACATTAATTATACATATTCAAATAAGAGAATAGTTATATTTAAAGAAATAACAACATTTCTTTTAAAATATTTATTTTTTATAAAAGATTATATTTATTATGTTTTTTTATAAATTGTATTATTATTAATTATCCTATTTTTAATTCATTTTACATTATCTCTAGAAATGAAAATGCGTGGATTGATCATTTGACATCAATCCCTTAAAAATAGATTTATTTATATATATATATATATAATTAAAAAAAAAAAAAAACCTTTGCTACCTGTGGACTTATCGAGAAAGATTAAATAAAAACTCTAGTTTCTAAATTAACCCATGAACTTCTAGAATTTTATGAACAATTCGCGTCTGTAATTATACTTTATATTTTGCTCACCACGCAAATAATGATTGTTAATTGCATACCTTTATAGGTGCCCCCATGATTACTTCAGCAACCAAGCTACTGTAACTAAAGAGATGAAGCAGCTTTTGGAAAGCATCTATCTTGGTTCGAATACCACTGGAAGCCTTCTTCCTCAAGCCCACTCTACTTTAGTAATTCGGGAAGGATCCGAGCTGGCCTTCTCAAGCCAGTCGTCGGGGAACCTCTTTCGTCGATATACTGGCGTCAATCTTTCCATATATAAAATGGTAGCCGCTAAGGCCACTCGGACTACCTTTCACCATAGGGGACAGCAGGAGAGCTTCAAGCCCTCTCCTTAGCCGGCGCAGCGTTGATATTGTATAACCTTAGGCGGCGGCGGTTGAGTCACTCTCGTCCCTGGGTGGGGTTTAGTTCTTCCCTCCAAAGTGGAAAGCAAAAAATGGCTGAGTGCAATTCTTGGGTTCTCCCTTACGTGACAAATCATTAAAAAAGCACCATGCTGCCTTCCGACAACTATAAAAACAATGGAACGGATGCGGGAATATAGTAAGCCAATAGCACTAGGGTGAGGTGCACTTTCTCTTAACAGACGGGACAAGGATGTTTTGTTTTTTTTTTTTTGTCAAGTAAAAATAACAATTCCCTTACCAATACGAGGAAGTCATCAGCAAGAGATTTTTAGCATTTTTCTTCAATTTCTTCTTTGATTCAACCCTTAATTATTACTCAAGAATTTTCAAGCTCGATTTTTATCTGTGCTATTGATACAATTTTAATCCCAACTATATTTATATTTTTTTAATTGTTTTTTGTCTTTTTTATGATTTTCATGGTTTTTTAAC